ACAAATCGATATAATATATTGACAGAATGTATGTGGAAAGTATTGAACAGTCGAGCGAATTCAGCGGAATTCTCATCGTGAAGATCTTGTCGGAGACCTTGCCCGACGAAGGTCACCTTCACGATCGCGGAGCGTAATCGCCGATAGTAGTTCGGCAGCTGAGGAATCTCTTAGACCGCGGGATCAAATCAGCGTGGGTGTTTTAATTACGCGTAAATGAGTCGTGCGAGGAGATTCCTGGCCCCCTTCAGTATCGTCGCCGATATATCGCCGTTCAATGGGCCTTGAGTCTGCAAATGAGCCGCGTTCTAGGTCTCCTTTCGAAGACCGCGAAGAACGCGAGCGAGGTGTAGACCTTGGCGACGACACTGGCATTGAAAATCGGTGACAGCAGCGAGGAAAAATCGTCCATCTATAATTGTTTGCCAATGTCGTCTCGTTCGAGCATTTCTCTACGAGTAATCAGCACTTCGCGAACTATTATTACATAACAGATAATTAGGAATTACCGTTAGATACTTGTTTAACTAAAATCAATATCTAAAGGCACAGGTATCCAGATTTGTTGGAAATTTCGAAGATTTTGAAGATTTGAGCATCGGCAATAAAATAAAGTATGAATGAATGAATGTTTGAAGATACTCAGATTTTATACCTGTTGTTAGAAATTAATTAAACATTCGAAAATTTGAAAATTGAAATTGCAAGTTGAAAAGAACTCGGACGTTCGAGTATTTGGATATCTAGATGTTTCAATATTTGATTATTTCAATTTATATGCTATGGAAGGTTTAGCTCAAATTTGAGCATTCGATTATCGAGAATTTGAATGGATGTTTGTACGTTTCAATATTTGGATAAATTTCAATAATTAAATAGAGGAGAGGGGAAGTCATCGCGAGTTCTCGGCATCATCCTCGCGTCGCTGTGTCTCGAATCGATTCTACGGTCACGGAATGAAATTCCGCTCACGTACGAAAGCAAATTTCCAAATTTCGATTATCGCGGTTTACACTGAAATTTACGACGATTACATGATTGTAATGGAGAACATGACACGGGTGTTTTACACAATGTAGTCCTACTATCTTCCGGTTCCCATGGCAATCGTCCCTGACATCCCCTCGTTCGACTCTCGATGTATAGGTGGAACAATTACAACTAGCCCAACCTCATTTGCAGATGATTTATTCGGCCTTTTGCTAAGGCCTTCCAAAGAATTAGTACACTAGAAGGACTTTTACTAAAGCTCTTTCGGCGATACAGCCTTTTCTGCCTCTTTCCTTATCAACTTCTTCAAGATTCCGCCCACGCATTGCTTACAGAGAGCATTATCGAAATAACGAATCAAGTACAATATTCATTTTATTTCTTATTATTTATTTCTTGCCTAATTTAGAAGTCGAATAAAATTTTTTATTTGTTACTTACTTTGCGTCCATCTAGAATTGCAACAACTGATTATTGAAACAATGTGTTAAATGATTATTGAAACAATGTGTTCATTCTAGACAGGATGAAGAAACATTAATGCAATTATGAAAATGAGAATCCAAGAATTCGTCCCATATTTTGTTCGATATGTTCGTCATTCCTCCCAGCCAGAATTTATAATTGTGCAAAATCGAAAGAAATAGTATTTTTAATATTGTCGTAAACTGTTGGTCGGTTCTTGAAGGATTAAATATATAAAAGGAAAGATGTGTCGTACGTTCATTTAAAAATTACAATAAAACGGCGCAATAATGATTAACGGAATAAATAGCTTAAATTAAAAATGGACAGAGATAGAGTATTTGACTTTCTAAATTATCGTCTTATTTATTCTTTTATTTGCAATGATTGTTACGAATGAAGAATAAACAACTACTTTGTACTCAACTACTTTGTATTCCTTGCCTACATTTATGAAGAATATTCTTACACCTTGAACTGAATACATCGACTCGTTTAACTGAATGTATTTGTTATTCCCAAGGTTGTTCGTTTAAGCATTTTTTCTGGTTGTTCAAATACAGAACTTACGTTGGGGAGAAGAATGAGGCTTCGTGCAGAGAATTTTAAGGACAGGGGGTGTGGATACTCGCGATTCTTGTAGTGATAAATGATTGTACTTAAGAAGTTTCTTTTCCTTTTGGTAATTGAGAAAGACTGTCTGCGAGTTTGTTGGAGGATCGTTGGTGTAATTGGCAAGGATGAGA